CATCTTAGAAACTTGGTTAGTATATCTAAAAAAAAATATATATTTATTGTGCTACATTTACATCAACATTCTTTCTCTTACAATAATAACGCTTTTCTTATCTCTATCATCTCTTTACGTATAAAATAAAAACAAAGACTTTCGCCGGTATTAAGCTAATGTTTATCTTTTGTTTACCGTTAGCTATTTTAACTCTATTGTTTCAATGTATAGACCCGAAATTCCGAGACATTTGAGTTCAACTGTTCTGCACAATATTCAGTCAGCTTGCGGCCGCTGTTTAGAATGCTTCTCTTACAGCGAGCATTTATAATTAATTTTCTGTTAATAAATTTTTACATAGTTTAAGAAACATAATAATTTATTGACCCACTGATTCCAATTTCCTACTTGCGATAATTGCCATCCCAACATTACTTCCCAGCACAAACAGGTACTTTAAAACCAATCCATTTTTTTAAACTTCATAAAAAATTTCTTGAATAATATTTAACCTGATCCGTCGTTGAATATTGAATTACAATTATACTGTGCGATACTTTATTTTTACAACCTCTTGTTTTCAAATTTGGTCACTCAACAACCACGTAATTTATTAACATTACATTAAATTATTTCCATCGATATACGACCTGCCTTACCGTTAAATTTTAAATCATATTTGTACTTTTGGATGATGTCATAAAATCTCGTTTCAAATACCCTTACTAAACGACCAATAATTGTCTGTAAAATATATACTAATAGTATTTTAATTAATAAAAAAACGTATTTATTGATTATTTTTGTATTTAAAATTTAATTTCTCAAGTGTTTAGTATAAATAAATGTCCTTTATAGACATTTTGTTAATTTAAATCTATACAATAGTATCAATTTGTGTAGGACATTAATTTTTCCAAAATTTTACAAAACAATATGAACTTGATACTTAATATAATGGTTTTCACCATCTTATGAAATTATACTATAAAAATCCAACTGTATCATAGGAACAGTAGGATGGCAGTTGGGTCGCTACTTATAATGTTAGAGGTGATTGGTGGTTAGGAGTAAGGGGGGAAATTTTTTGTGTGATATCGTTTTGTGGATTACCTTAATGGAGACAGACTAAGATTTTTTTTAGTTTGAGGAAGGCTAGTAGATTAATTTAAAATTTTAAGGGTAGTAATGAAAGAGTAAGGAGTTTCTGACTGAATCTGATCTTACAACTAAATAGTATGACATATACAATACATAATCGAATTGAAATAATTAAAAATTAAAACTTAATTTTAAAAAATGGAAGTAAAGATTTTTAAAGTTAGCCTTATTTTTTTTTTTTTTTTTACATCATAATTTAGCATAAAAAATTCCTAATGAGTCAACAATATAAGGTTTATCACAATAATTAACATTTTTTCTGTTATTTCAAGAATTTTGAAGGCCAATTAGGACGGATTCAATACGCATGGTACTGTTGACGTCTCAACATAAACTTTCATATGTGGCTTAGCCACGCTATTGAATTATGGATGCTATAATAAGTAGAGGTAAAAAAAAACGGTCATAAATAATGCATGTTTTTAGAATTTTTGTGTACCATTGAAAAAAAAGTATAAGCTTTTTTAAATGCAATAAATTATAAGCTTATTATTCAAGAGCACAGAAGTAACAGGATGTGGTTAATACTTAAAAGTTTTTCTGGTGTTGCCACAAAACAAGAAACTGTAAAAGTAGTTGCTCTCAGCAAAGTCCAGAAAAACTCTTCACCCACTAACAACGAAAACTACTTAACCAATTTCACTAAAATTTTGCGTACGAATTTTTACAATTTCTGAATGGTCTTTAAAAAGATTTTTTTCTTAAAAAAATTTATAATCGTAGCATAAGTATGCTTTGGGTTCTACAAAAAACGCTTGATTTGTGCTGTAGTCTAGTAGTACCACTAAGCTACCTGCAATTAAGGTCAGAAAGTCTGGTGATAATATTCCTTAGCAAAATATCGATGGCCATAGTCGCTCGCTGGCAGTATATATGTACTGGCTTTCAACGACACTCTGATAGTCTGCAATAGGCAAGCAACCCACTTTGGCTTTGATTCTGGAGTGCCAGAATGACTTAAGTACCATAAAAAAAAGCATTCTGAATACCAACGTCCCTGGTGGATCACTAGGAAACGTTTGGTCAGTGCATAACTAGCTCCAATTTGAGTGCATCACGTCGTGGCTGCCCTTCCGACCAATTTAGTGCTGCCAAATCACTTTTTGCTACAATAGAATACCAGGGGGAACAACGTTAAAAAGTTTGGGCAACCATATCTGCTAGAAGTTATATCATCCTCTGATAGTAAGTATCACCACTAGACCTTTTCAGGGCAATGATAAATATTTACGTTTACTATCTACCACTAAATTCATCGATTTTTTTGGGACTATCTAACATTAAATAATTTTGCTGTTGAGTATTACTTTTACAAGTATTTCTAACTAACTTTTTAAAGCAACTTCTTACAACGATTTGTTCTCTAGAAGAATATTTAAAACCAGCCACTTTTAAACCAAGTCATTCACTGGCAGACATTACGAGCGGAGGATTTCGTTGCCAGGCTGAAAATTACGACCACCGAGGTTCCTGCATTATCCACTTGACTCTAAGTTTTAAACTAAGAATCACCAATCGTTTCCGAGGACCACGCTTGGCAAACTTTATAGTGAAACTATAAATGAGAAATACACTGAAGCAAACAGAACAGTCTTCAACATGCAAGCCACACAAACGAACCTTCACGTTGGATCATAAAAATCACTAAGCTCCACAAAGTAAGGAGCTACTGGAGAAACTAACATCTTCGGTGTAATACCAGGAGATGTTATGAAAGAGCACTGCAACTGATTCCAGCGATTTGGAGCATTGTGGTTTTCCTCCCAACTATTTTGGTGCTACAACAAAACGCTAAAAAGACTACTCTGAGCTACCCAGGCAGGAGCATTTGTTGGAAACATTAATCAAGACAGAATTTAGCCTACAAGTCCATTTCAGGGCTATCTAACGTTGAACTATTTTACAAATAAATGTATTATAACTAAACTTCCAGAGCGTGAATCAGAAGGAAAACTTCAAATGCGTTAAATGTATACAACTTGAGGTATAGGTAAAACTATATATTTTTAAATTTATTATGGCGATAGAAGATAAAGGAATTAGGCTTTACGACTTTGTAACTTTGGTGGTAATTTTTAGTGATTAAAAAAAATTTTATTTATATATTTTTTATTGTTTATTAGCTGGCGCTCATGAGCAAATTGACATGTGTGTGTCAATAGCGTTCCCCACTCACTAGTATTGTAATAAAAAACTACAAACGGTTGTGCTCTGATTACCACAAGATTTTTTGTAGAAACTTAGCATTTGTGGTTTTTTCTAATAACATTTCTAGAGTGGGTTTTTTATATACTATCATGTTGCATTGCCTGTGATCCTTAAACATTGCTAGATTTCTAAGAATTTCATTGATACGTGTGTATCTGTAATAAATTTCTTTAAATCGATCCTTTAAGGTCCTCTTTTTTAATAAGTATGTCCCTTCTATCTACCTCACTGTACCAACGTATTAAAGTTGATAGTGGCCTCACAGATAAGCTGCTAAAATGCTGACTTTCCTGGAAACTAAATTCCCTTAAATAGCAGATATAATCCAAGCTTATCCGCTGACAGTCTTAATTAGAAAATCCATTTGTTTGGCATCCCAGGTACTCAATTTACTAAAAAAATCCAAGAAAGAAATTTTGATGTTTTCAATTGAATTTGAACTCACAATTCCTATAGTTTCTCTGCTCAGAGGATAGCAGGCTAATCACGATGCTATAAAAGATTTCTAGGTTTTTTAAATAATTCATCTAGAAAATATTCTATAAAACTATGTTTTTTTTAAAGTAAGTGTTTATATTTAAATGTACGCATGCCACGTGTATCGAGATCCAACCACAAATCATTATAAATCACTTTTATTTCCAAAATAAGAATTGAATCTTGATGAAAAGTCAAAAAACAAATAAACTTGTATTTATAGTGTCTTAATAACTTGTTTAAAAGTAATATTGAATCATTGAAGAAAGAAAAAAATTTGTTTTCTCTACTTCTAAAATTTTTTGTTGCTTTTCTTAAAAAAACGTATGTTTGATTTCTTCGTTGATTTGTTTATTTAATTTTTGTAATATTAATATGCTCGTAAACAATGATGCTTACGAGTTTTTTATGAAACGTGAAGGTGTACTAACATAAGTAATATTATATTTAACTGTTCTTTCGAAGAAAGTTTTAATGGTTATCTAGAAGATGCTTTAACTTTCATGTAGTAAAATATTAAAAGATACTTTCGTAGTAAGGATAAAGTTATGCCTCCTCAAACTTTGAGTATTTGTGACGAGTAACAGTAAGGGGCACATATAAATGTATAGTTATTTTTGGAAACGATATTGGAGCATAGTTTCAAATAACTTGCAATTTTGTGCACAGTTAACTATCATTACATTGTTTCAAAAATACCTAAGAACTGTTTTTTTTTTTTTAAAACTAATCGACATGACTTATCAAGACCGTCTCAAATCAGAAATGAAGTTATTTTTATATACTATCGAATTACACTATTGTAAATTCCTGATACTAATTTCTCACCCTAAATTAGACAAGAAATCATTTTATAAACATAAAAACTTGTTTTAACTACCTTAATAAGGTACAAATTTTGAACTTATTTGTCAAGCAGCCATAAAGAATTGAAAAAGAAAACAATTTTTAGCAGAACATTGTAATCAATACACACACACACACACACACACACACAGATTATTTCTAAAAATGGTATTGTTTCATTTGAGAAACTATAAAAAACATTTCTAATTTATTTTCACTAAAACTTTTTACCGACGTAAAGTCTTCCTACAAGGATGCAATATGTAATAAGAATTCGATTATTATTTTAATTTCATATACTCATCAACATATTAACTTATTTACAGAGCCTTAGATCGTGAGCGCAGAAATTACTATTTCTTCTTGGTAATCGCTTGTGATAGTGGAAGGCACAGAAAGCATCAAACATCTGTATTTATCGAAATCTTCGTTCAAGATGTAAATGACAATCATCCTGTTATTGAAAAATACTATTACACTTTGCAAGTACCCGAGTTTATATTACCAGGGCAAGACATTTTAAAAATAAGAGCTTATGACCCAGACGATGGTTATAATGGAGAGATAGTTTTTACGTTCTTAAATGGACAAGATAATACTCAATTTAGTATTCACCCTCAAACTGGTGTAATAACTGCATTATTACCACCAATCCAGAAATACGGTTCCACTCATCGTCTTAATGTTATTGTTAAAGATAAAGGAATAACTCCACTAAGCACAAAGTGTTTAGTTGAACTGAAAATTGGAAATGTTTCTGATTCAAGTCCGTTTCTTAAATTTCAAAATGACTGCTATCAAAGTCTTGTCTATGAGAATATTTCAGATAATTCTGAAATAATTCAAGTAACAGCACTTATGTCTGATGGTCGACGCCCACTTATTCATTATTCGATTGAGTCTGGTAACGAACGAGATATATTTAGCATAAATGGTGAATCTGGTGTTGTAAAAGTAAGAAATTCTTCTGAGTTAGATGCGGATTTATGGGAAGAAATTTCTATGGATACGAATAAAATAGTAACAAAGAAAACGAATAGTAGTGACATCGAAAGAAATTGGATAGTGAAAAGAAATGAAGATAATAGCCAAGCATATAAGGATTTTCATCATAGATTAACATTATTAGCTAAAACTATTGGATTGCAGATATTAGAATCATATGTAACACTTTTTGTAAAGATAATAAATGTCAATGATAACGCACCAATTTTCACTCAATCTCAATATACAGCATCAGTACTTGAAGGCCATTCCAAGGGCAGCTTTGTGATTAGAGTAAGTAGTAATCTTACTTTTCTAAAGTTTAAGTTTTCAACAAAATTATTCTCCATTCTTATAGAGAAAACTTTATCACAAACAATAATAAACTGTATGTCTAAATAACGTATTACAAATATATTTTCTGAGCTATAGAATAAAATACACTAAAAAATGTCCGATTTTTATGCAACGTGTTTTCTATCTTGTAATTAAAGCTAGTTATCACTTAAAAAAGCAATTAGTGGTCACAGTATTTTTTTTCCAACAAGATTTTTAAAAATAAAAATTTTAACCTAAGTTTTTTTTCCATTCAATTTATAATTCTTGTATACTTTATATAAGAAAATGTAAATAACTGAAAGATTCTAAATGATAAAACGAATTAGAATAAAAACAAAAATATTTACGTGGTAGAGTATCTATGTTGACTTGTATGTTTGGATATTTTGTTGTAGTTCTTGATTTATGAGTTTTATTTTTTTTAATTTTTCATTTTAAAAAAAAATATTTTTTACCATTTCGTCAATATTCTAGCATACTTGTTGTTAGAAACTCTCTATAAGTATGATGTGTTTTGTCAATAACCGTATTTTGAAAGAAATTAAAAATTTTTTCGCAGGTTTGTGCAGATTTCTATGTATAGAATATTTTAGACCATAGGTCGAATCTAAACATGTATGGGTCTTATTGAAATAAAGCACTCCTATTCTTTTCTAATACATTTGCGTTAAATAAATAGAATCAAATGGTGTTACAAATAGTTTTTATGGTTTTATCATTAAAATGAAAATTTAATATGAGTAAATCATTCACTTTTAAAATTTAAGAAAAAGTCACGGATAAGGACTGAACTCTGAACGCTGTCGATCTTACCGTAAGAGGACGTACTTTAATACGAAATTCACTACAAAGAAAATACGAGTAAGCCAAGGTAGATTAGCACACTGCTGTTAGTCTTCTTGTGTCTAGTATACAATGTAACTTCTAGATATAAATGATTATTTCTTTGAATAATACTCTAGGTGAGGAATAACTAAAAATGATCAAGACTTGAATTAAACCTTGTAACATTAGTTACATTTAAAATGTAATAATTGCGTGTGAAAGTTTTCGTTACTTAATCAAATACGACAAAATAACTGATGTTTAACACGAAAATAATCATAGAGCTTCAAGAGCGAAACAGATGAGTCTCAACTATATAAAACAAAAAAAAGAAAACGGCTTTTATGTACACATTACAAGTTAAGCAACGTGACCGCACAAAATCCAGGGAGAGTATGAATCAACAATTCACATTTAATAATGTCTAGCACTGTAAAAATACTTACTCAAGTGTCATAGCAGAGTATACTAACGATTCTTACGAATAATAGCAAGTTGCGAGCTGGGAATGCTTACAGCTAGTGCAGGAGGAAAAAAAAGTCGATTAATCAAATACACTCAACCAACTAAACGTACTGAGTCATAATTACGCAGTAAAGGTATTAAAAATATAATGGAGTCAACACAGAAGAATACAAAGCTTTTACTTGTTAAAAAAAACTATTTGATATTAAACAACAATCAAGACTTAAAAAAATACTTATTGGGTATGTATTGAGTTATACCAATTTTTTTTTTCCTTTTTTTTCAAAGTTTTCCACGCTAAATTAAAAAAGATTAAAATCAGAGACTAGCACGCATTTGGAAGCTTGAGAAATCAATAGATGCAAAAGCTTAGCTGGGAACAGCTACGCTCAGGAATAATATTAAATGCTAGAAAAATTTAGAATTAAAACGTATAGACTAAAATAAAAACAAAAATATAGTTAAAATACAAAAACAAGGAGATACATGCTACACTTGTAGTAAGCAACAGCTATGCACAACATACTTATGGTAAGTTTAGCAGAGCAATGTTTTAAACCTTTTATCTGACTTTAATCATTTATTTTTGTAGACATATAACTTTTTAAGTTACCTCTTGTACTAAGCTACTAATTTCGTAAACCATCTGCAATAGTCTCATTTTCTAATATGTAAGGGAGAACGGAAAAGCCAGGTCTTGACTTTTTTCGCTTTTTTAGCTCAGTGACGTCAAAAGAGTTCGTATGGCAGTCTCCAACATAGGTAACAGAATTTCTGAATTCCTAGGGTACAATGAACGGACTTTTTCTTCAACCACTAGCTGTAAAAAATAAGTTGACAGAAATTTTACCAAACGTTCTGAATTAATTTTGCAAAACTGTAATCAGTAAAAACTGCCTATTAATTTAATTCTGTTAAGTTGTGACAGACATAGTACTATTATTTTCATTGTTAATATTATCATAATTATTGTAACTATTATCATTATCACTTTTTTTCCTTTATACAAAATCGTCCAAAATGCCTTGATGCACGATATAAGGGGGTACGAACTTCCTCTCTATGTGGGACTCGCAGTTAGCTTATAAATGTTTTTTTCTCGCTACGATGTTCTAAGTAATATTAAATGAATACCCACTAAACTTGCAAGATGTATCTCCTGGGATACCTGTCTCAGAATCCGCTTTCGCATTAATACTTCAAGCCAGGGCCACGGAGTGTTGACCATTGACGTGGCCTTCCGTTGAAGTGTCATCACCATCGTGGTATTGCCTTCTGTCCCGTGTTTAAGTTTATTCCGTCTGGTCATCTGCTGTTCTTCCGGAACATCGATTCCCGTTGCTTTCCCTTGCTGATGGCTTGGGTAAGTCAGCGCAGCTTGGATCTGCAATAGTCATCTAGCTTCCATAGTCTTAAACTCTGTCTGCATTTTGTAGGCACCTCACTTTTGGTCTTTTCTAGTGCTTTTCTAAATGCTGGGTAGCTGCCACTACCTGCTCCGTGTTTGACACCTTGTTTTCCGCAAGCGAACCATCGGGCCTCCTCCTTGCAGTCTTTTTGTCGGTGATTGCAGCTATCACACTGATAGCATAGCTTCGACTAGTCCTTCTTATTGAAGTTCCAGGCTAAATGTCCATACTCTAGACACTGGTACTATCTGAGGACTTTAACCCATCTTTATAATTGATAATAATAAATATTACTACTGTTGTTGTTACTATTATTATTATTATTGTTTTTACTATTATTATAATCATCATAATTTTTTTAATGATTTTTACTAACAACGTTAAAAAGTTTGGGCNAATCGTCAAATGAACTTTTGGGCGGTAGTTGTGATGCTGGTGTGCGTAAAGGCAGGGGACTGCGATAAACGGAGTGCAATAAACATACGAGTCAGAGTGGAATAGTACACGGGAAAAGTGCATATTATTATTACCATTGTAATTGTAATTGTAATTATTATTATTATTATTACTATCCTCCATGAGCGTAGTCTAATTTTTGCTTTGGATACCTCACGCTGGTTCTTCGTGTGTACGACTTTAATATCTTACTAATATACAAAGAAAAGTCGCTAAAACCGTTGTAATCGCTAACCACGAAAACTACTAAACCGATTTTGCTGAAATTTTGCACACTGATTCTTGACATTTCCTAGATAATTTCAGTATAGTTTTTATCTTGAAAAATGTAATAACAATAGCAGTTAATTAACACAAAGTTTTGCAAAAATATGCCAGCTTTTCACTTCAGTTCAGTAGGATCCGCCAGGTGGCGTCCACATGGAATTGAGGCTACCTGCAACAAAATTAAATAAGTGTGGTTAAAATACGCCGGGGAGTCTCGAAAATTTCTGCAGTTGTCTTCTGGCAATTCATCGAGAATGGAGATGATAGTCGTGTAGCTAGGTAACCCGGTTACCGACGACACTCTTCTCTGAAGGACAAGCGACGCAGGTCCACATCCACCCTGAATCTCCAGTATTGACGAGTGCGACCAACTAAAAAATTTTCTAACGGATAACTTCTCTGGAAGTATACAAGGAGACGTATCTAGCCAGAGCACGATCTGCTCCAACACTTCAGAGTTGTGTGGCCGTACCACCATCCTGCTTAGTACCGTCAGAGAATTTTTGGCTACAAATGCAACCCAGGGAAGACAGCCCTGAGGAGCACGAGCAGCCACAATGGCTCCCTTCTTAGTGGTCGTTACCCAACGGCATACCTACTTTTTCCTGACAAACGATGAGCAGTTGGTTATCCGGGGAACGACCCCAAGACAAGATATTCTTTGGTCAGCGGCGTACCTTCCTCCATCACAGTCTCGATTCGTAGAGACTTCGGGGGTAAGATTCAAGCTACCCGCAGCTAGCTCTTCATCATTAGAAATAACAATGCAGAATAGCTGGAAATTTCACCACTGGCTCTTTTTAGGGCCATTATAAATATTCACGTTCCCTACTTAACCATCAATTTCATCGGTTCTTTTAAGAACCATCTAAGTTTAAACTACCTTGCGAATAAATAAATTTTTACTACAATTTTCGAGAGTGATTTGTCGACTAAAAGACTATATCAACTAAAGACGGCCACTATTAAACCAAGTCAGACATTCACTGGCAGTCATCACGGGCGGAGTTGTACTTTGCAAGGCTGAGAATCCCGGTGTCCGACGACCCTATATTACCCTCTCGACTCTAAGCATTAAACCAGGAATCACCGATCCTTTCCAAGGTCTGCGCTGGGCAAACCTAACAGCTACGAAAGGAATAAAAAATTTGATACAGCGGGACAATCTCCAACGGGCAAGAATTACGAACCAATCTCCCCATCTTAGATCACCCAAAACAACTGAGTCTGCAAAAAAAGGTGCTTGAGATACCAACTTCTTCGACGTTATACCGGAAGACGTTAGGAAAGATCTCTACAACTAGCTCCAAAGCTTCGGACTTTGTAATTTTTCTCTTGATCAGTCTGGGGCTTCAACAGCAGGCCAGAGAAGGTCACCTTGAGGTATCCAGGCAGTCACATTTGCTGGAAACTTTAGTCAAGAAAGAGTTTATTTAAGAAGCTCACCGGTCTTTCTTAGGGCCATCAGACGTCGAACTACCTTGCCAACAAATATAGTAGAACTTAACAAAGTTGATAAAAAACAGCTTTTAG